ACAGCTTCAGCTTTAAAGCATCCACACTGCATTTTCGCAGGAAATGCAAATTTTTCTAGTTAAAATTGCAATGCTTCTTTTTTAAACCCATGCAAGTACACAGAACATAATGAACAGCAGTCTCATTAAAGCCTGTACTTGGGGTGGGGGGGTGGGGGGGTGCTGCTTTTGCTGAATAGAGGTGTTAAATGAGCTTATGGCACACACCAGCTGGAGGCATTACTAGCATAGTGAGTAAAAGAAGCCAGGATCAAGCGTGTAAAGCAGATCCATAAAATAAGCAACACTTGTCTTCCTGATGGGATGTAACTCTCATGTGTCAAATTTAGAGATGCAGTTTTAAATAAAAAACATTTGTCTCTGAATGCAGTGTGTTTGTGAAATTTGTTTCTGTCAGATTTTGCAGGAACATCTTGTCGTGTTCACGTTCACAAATACAACGCTTGTGTTTTTGAAAAACACTGTGGAAAATGGTTGGATTCAGGCCTGCAGATGTGCCACCTTCGGCAGCTGTAAAGTTTGTGGGAGCAGGAACTGCAGCCTGCATCGCTGACCTGCTCACCTTTCCCTTAGACACAGCCAAAGTGCGACTGCAGGTATTAAAGTATTCTTGTGTAACAAACACAAAGCCAATTCTTGTAACCTTAGTAGCCTGAACTTTCATTGCACAGATCCAAGGAGAGACCAGAGGCTCTGCTGCTACAGGGAGCGGCTCTACGGTGAAGTATCGAGGGGTGTTCGGCACCATCGCCACCATGGTGCGTACTGAGGGTCCTCTGAGTCTTTACAGTGGGCTGGTGGCAGGACTCCAGAGGCAGATGAGCTTTGCGTCTGTCCGAATTGGTCTCTACGACTCTGTTAAACAGTTCTACACTAAAGGCTCTGACCGTGAGCATCTGTGATTGGATTCTGACAGTTGTTTATTTGGTTGAGGGGAAATTTTGACCAGTCTCAACTGACATCTCTCTCTTCCCTGGTTTAGATGTGGGCATTGGGAGTTGGCTGCTGGCTGGATCTACCACAGGTGCCTTGGCGGTTGCCATTGCTCAGCCCACAGACGTGGTGAAAGTTCGCTTCCAGGCACAGGCGAGATGTCTTGGCCGTGCCAGGCGCTACTGTAGCACAGTGGATGCTTACAAGACGATTGCCAAGGAGGAAGGCATTTGTGGTCTGTGGAAAGGTAGCTCAAGCTTCCAAAATGCGTGTTTTTAAAAGGCTGCTGCTTCGTTTCTTATGATGTATCTTTGTTTTCAATGTCACACAGGCACAGCTCCAAACATTGCACGTAACGCTATTGTTAACTGCACAGAACTGGTGACCTATGACTTCATCAAGTATATGCTCCTTAGGTCCACACAGCTGACAGGTAAAACACAGTGGCTTCACAGCAACATCAGGCATGTGTATGATATAGCACTCAGCCCTGGGTTCTGTGCACTCCACAGATAATCTGCCCTGCCATTTTGCATCAGCCTTTGGTGCGGGGTTGTGCACAACAGTGATCGCCTCCCCTGTTGATGTGGTCAAGACAAGATACATGAACTCTGCTCTTGGCCAGTACAGCAGCGTTCTCAACTGTGCTGTTGCCATGATGACCAATGAAGGCCCGTGTGCTTTTTACAAAGGGTAACCCAGTGATTCCACATTCATTTGACAACTCTTAATGTGAATGAAACGAAACCAAAAATGTTTTTGCCTCCATTTCCATTTTCTTAAGGTTTATCCCGTCTTTCTTACGCCTGGGGTCCTGGAACGTGGTCATGTTTGTGACGTACGAGCAGCTGAAACGAGCAATGATGGCAGCGAATCACAGCTGCAAAGCTTATCTGTAATCTCTACTGTCTCTCGATGGGCTCGTGTTCGACCACACTCACATTGTCTTTCATTTTTGTTATCTTCCAGCGTGTTTACAGAAATATTCTGACAGAGTGCAAAGTGCAAATAAAAACAGAAAGACACGATTTGCAAATGTATCAGTATTGCTCTCTTCTGACAGACATGTAGCCACATGAACAGTCCAATCAATCATTCTGATTACACATGTATTTGGAATGTGATTAATCTTTAAAAGACAGAGCTTGCTTGATCAGATACTTCCTCTCAGCAGAAAGCGTCTCGGGGAACTTAAGGTCAAAAGTAATTATGAGGTTTCCTCTCTGGGAAGGATTCTTGGACAGCGGCATTCCTTCTCCGGACAAGACTTTTTGGTATCTAGGGCTGATATGACATGACAAACAAATCAGAGAGCGGAAACTTAATGCAGATAATGCACAAAATAAAAACACAATAATCATTAAGTGTTATAGCAGATGGTTATGCTGGACATTTCTTCCTGTTATAAGGGAGTTTTTCATTCCCACTGTCGCCAAGTGTTTGCTCATAGGTGATCATATAATTGTTGGAGTTTTCTCTGCTTTTTTTCTTTTGGGGGGGGTTGTATTTCCTTACAATACGAAGCACTTTGACGCGACTGTTGTTGCACTCTGGCACTACATAAATGTAAAAACAACCAGACTGGGAAAAACTGTTTTTCAAGACAGTGACTGAAAGCACTTACTGGACAATGTCATTGATAAGAACAGAGAGCAGCCTGCCATCTAGTGTCTGCACGTCCACAGAGAAGCCAGTTAAAGCCTGCGAACAAGGGAATCAGCTTACAGCTTTAAAGAAACCTTTTTGCATGGCCAATAATCAATCCATGACATGACTCACCATCTCCAGAGTAATCTTTGCTTTGTAGATGAGGTCATTGTTATGTCTCACAAACAGAGGATGAGTCTTCTGTCGCACAATAAACACAATATCTGCGGGAATGCTGTTTGGTCCCTGAAGGTAAAACAGCAAAACAAAATAAAAAGATTACCATGCAGCAGTCTTTACAGACAGTTCTTTATACATTCCCTCCCTGGGTAAAGGAAAGAATATACACAAACAAGGCAGTGGTACAGTCAGTACACATCATCATAATAAAAAAACAGAGTAATAAGAAGAATAGCTTTGAGCGCATAATTTCTTTTGGCTAAAATTGCCCAGAGTACAATAAGCAAAATGCCTTTTGCTTATTGTAATCGGGTGTTAAAACCGAACATGCTTACTTTTGGTAGTAAGCGTGTTCCATTTCAGTGAACCTATAAAAGATCTGCAGGAACAACGTACTTGTGTGCAGTCTATGCAAAGTGCCAATTTTAGGAGAACCTTCACAAGTAGTTAGTCATCAGTTATTCTTGCAATAGCAGAAAAAGGAGTACAATAAATTATAATTTGTTAAAAATTCCCCTCTCCTTTGTCGCATTCAGCCTTTTTAATGCTTACCTCTACTATCTTTTCACTAATTGCTGCACTGCAGTAATGTATATACCACAATAACAATGGCAACCTGCTAAATTTTCCTTTAAAGCTAACTGCACACTGAAGCCTAGGATTGATTACAGCAAAAAATACATTTCTGGGTTATAGCAGCCATATAGCTCAGAAACGGCATCAGAGCCACGAACCCAACTCAGGCTGTAGGAAATATTTATGTATAAAAGGATAAAAATAATACACTATACCAACTCATGAGCTCACTTTCAAACCCCCCATTTTAAAATGATGTGTAGGCTGGTTAATTACCTGATCTCCCTCTTTGGGGAAAGTAATTCTTGTGCCTTCGTTCCATCCAGGCTTGACATCTATACTCAGAATCTTGTCTTTGATACTGGATGTGCATCCATCGTCATTCATGACCTGTAAAATAAATAAAGCATTGCACAATATATGAGGCAAAATCAGTGCTGTAGTATGTCTTTGTGATGGCGTTTTTTTTTAATTTTTTAATGCTGTTGTTTAGTTAGCTCTAAACCCCATGAGGAGCTTGCAGTCTTATAGATGAGTGAATCCAACAAAAGCCACGGGAGGGAGAAAATATAAACATGTCTTACTCTGCGAGATATCTTGATCTTTTTTGTGCATCCATGGAAGAGATCGTCCAGGCACAAATGAAGGTCTCTCTCTATTGGGGTATCTTGCGTTTTCGCCACTTGTGGCTGCAGGCCACCGAACTGAAGCGGCACATCATTTGTGTAGAAGTCTAGTAAAAAAAAAGAAAAAAAAGAAGGTGGATTAAAGGATTAAAATCGAAAACGCACATTCACTGTCGGGCTTTGATTATGTTTTTTTCTCACCTGCAAATGGGTTGTCACCCCCGAAAAACTGTTTGAATGTCTGGTCAGGATTCCCATGGTAGACGTATTTTGAGGACCAAGTTCCATTGCTGGCAAACTCAAGTGGAATACCACCTCTCAGGCCCTCCTCTCCAAACTTGTCGTAAGTTGCCTTTTTTCGAGCTTTCACACAGAAAATTGGCTTTGATTCACACACATATGGTACATTCTGCATACAATAAATACAGCCTTTCCTCAGACCAAAATACACTTCACTGTATATAAGCCTGTATTACTATTTTCATATTAACTGGTATTTAAAAAAAGCTTTCTATTTCTGATCCTTATAACAGTTTCCTGCTAAATGTTTTTTTTTTAAACAAAAAGCTTTAAATACAAATCTGCAGTTATTTCCACTTCTCTTTTTACGAAAATGTTAGTATTGCTTATAATATAACCAATTTTAAACTGAGTTGTAGCTGTGCGTTCATCTATTGCATTGTTTGAAACCGTGAGTGGGTGGGTAGATACAATACATTACGATACTTTGCGTGGTGATATTGTATCGATAGAGAGTCACCAAATATCGATATTTTATAAAGAAATACAAATACTCAGGGAGTACTATGAACAGTAGGACTCATCTTGAGATGATTTTATGTATCTCATTGTCTTTTATCCTGTCTTCCTTCTCTCACCCCAACTGGTCGCAGCAGATGGCCCCGCCCCTCCCTGAGCCTGGTTCTGCCGGAGGTTTCTTCCTTTTAAAAGGGAGTTTTTCCTTCCCACTGTCGCCAAAATGCTTGCTCATAGGGGGTCATGTTATTGTTGGGTTTTTCTCTGTATGTATTATTGTAGGTCTACCTTACAATATAAAGCGCCTTGAGGCGACTGTTGTTGTGATTTGGCGCTGTATAAATTGAATTGAATTGAATTGAATGTAAAATCAGCTCCACTGACAAACCACCCAGGACTGGACACACTTAGCTTGACAAAGCTACATGCTAATTAAGAGCGAGCTTATGGCTCATAAGTAAAAACAGGACAGCAACCTCCTTGCAGCTACAAAATATTTTTTTAAGAATCAGTGACTGCCTGCTCATAGAATTGAATTTTTTTCAGATTCTGCAGCTGACGAAACAGTTGCCCAGAACGTGAGGGTCTCGAACACAAATGGTCAATTTTGATTGGAAGGCAGTTGCAGAGGTCACCTGAGAGGAGGCAACTTTTCAGCAAACAATCTCAGTCTGACTTAGACTGACTGCAATCACTCTCTGAGAGAATGTCAAATAACTGACTCAACTGGCTCCCAGGTGGCTATATTCTGGTTTTATTTACATAGAACAGGAAGGTTGCTGGTTGCAACCGAATGCAAAATCACTTATCGCGGGAATGTTGTACACCTTCCTTTGATAATTCAATTGATTTGTGCTGCTTAAAAAAAGAATAATAATAGATCATCACAGTATATCAGTTAAACTTCAGAGATATCAGTCTGTTCAGTTGGGAAACATGAACCCGTCTGAATCCGTTTCGCTTACTTTGGTTCAAATGAAAGTAACGCTGGAGAGGCATCAACGAGACAACCCCACCCAAAAACCTGACTGTTTTTGCTGTTTGTCAGTGAGACATACATGCAGCCCATGCAGGTTGCACAGGTAGTCGAGCTCAGTTCTCTTCACACAGGAGAGACACACACAAGCAGTGAGGACATGTGACACACATGAAAGGGTCTTGAGACACTGGTGAATGTTAGGCTGTCTGCCTGATCCTCCATGACAGATTTGGAGGGTTCCACAGACCTCCACGTGCTGTTAGGTAGGTGATAAGAGTTTGCCAAGAAACAGACACATCTGTTGCCTTCTTGAGGTAATTTTCGAGAGCACTGGAAATGTTCCTCCTGTCCCTTTTTATACAAAGGAACAGACATGGGTACTGATGCTGTGGTGATGCCCCTAACTGCCCAGCTCTTAGCTCCACACTCTTGACACTGCTGACAGATACACCTTCTTACATCGGCTCTTCCTGATTTGCAGTCCTGGAGCAGCTGTGCACTGACTGTCTTTGCAACGTGAATAGGCTGCAGGTACCATGTCATTCCACCAGAATTGAAAAGTAAAGTCACAAAAAGCAAAGCTAGAATGAACTGAATCACGAGGGATAAGGAACGACCACTTTCATTTGCACCAAAGCAGCTGAAATGGATTCAGTACGATTAACTGACTTTTCCTTAGACTGTGATCATCGAGTGTCCCCTTATTGTTTTTATCCGTGCGGTTTCCAAAATAAAACACACTTCAGTCTCGATATTCTTCCACTTACGGTCGCTTAAAACATCATAGGCTTCACCCAACTGGGTAAATTTCTGGGAGCTTCCAGGCTCTCTGTTTCTTTTCGGATGAAACTTCAGTGCGAGGCGTCGATATCTAAGAAAGAGAAAGAAATAACTGAGGAATAACAGAACAAGCCTCATTATTAAGCATGTGAG